TTTTGGCTGTTATATTTTTGATGAACCCTGAAAAATAGTACTTATTACCTTTCTTGTTAATGAAATCACAGCTCCTCAATCCATGGTTTTAATAGGAAACATAAGGTCTTAACTATTAACAATAAAAACAAACACAGCCAAATTTACACAATTATTTAGCACTTACGTGCAGAAAATCAGGGTTTTTTGTTTTAACTTTTGTCACGTGGAATGGAAAACAATTTCCAAATCAAATCTGTGTAATGATCACTCACACAATGTACAACGTTAACTGGCATTACACACGTATTTGCTGTCCGCGGCACCCTTCACATTACACAGACTTTACGCAGCATCAGGTATGAGAATGACCCACCCACGCCAGCACGAGATGCTTCTGGGTGCCAGACGCCGCGGTGCCCAGGCAGCCAGGACAAGCAGCTCTTGAGGGCTGCGGTTCACTGTAAATGGGAATAAGGTGCCCACCAAGGACTCTATTGAGACTAAGCGTTTCAGCTTCATCTGTACCAGAGCAGGGTTTTGCCAAGAAAAAAAGGAAAAATAGACTTTAACAAAAGAAAAAGTATAAAATAAACTCTCTTAAAGTACAAAACATCATGGTGGTTGAGGCCCAAGAAGTTCAATGTATTAATTAGGTTTAATTAAAAAGAGGTAATAAGAGGAATAAAATAGAGAACGGCATCAAATTGTACAGATGATTTTATTTTTGGCTTTTAGTGGGGTGATGAGACAGGCAAAACAAAGGACTGGTGTAGTTTTATTTTAAACTAAAATAAAACCTAGACCTAGCGGAGAAGACTGCCTGCATGGGTAGCAACTGGAGTCAAGGTAGGAATTAAGGCAGCAAAAGTCACAGAGAGGAAAAACTGCGCAGAGCAGGAGGTGGCAAACGTAGAGAAAGAGGAATGAATTTACAAAATGCTTTGAAGGCAGGACTGACACGACTGGAACATGTTTTAGATCAAAGTGGAAAAGTTTTGGGACAACTTTCAGCTCTTGAGGTTTGGTAAATAAGACCAAGAACTGGAAAAGATAACTAAACACGGGAGCTTAGCTATCCTAGTGGCCTTCCAGAACATCACTGACAACAGTGAATTGGAAGATAAAAAGAGAGGTCTGTGTTCCACCTGTCTCAGAAGAGCTGAAGAAAGAGAGGGCACGCTAAGGTGAAACTGTGATGTGCACGCACGCGCTGATCATCTCACAGTGTTTCACTGACTATATAAAGCAGTATGGAAAATGTGTAGGATTACTTTACGACTGCTTGCCTAAGTGAAGTAAAATAATACGGACTATGTGCACTTCAGACCTCCCGGGACCATGAGTTCCCAGCCCTCAGAACTGACTCGCTGCTCCAGAATGGTGAAGAGCAACACAGCTCTTTCCACCAGCAGCGAAAGCAAACGTCCCCAGTCACCTGAGCCCTTCTGTCTCGGCGCTCATGAGTGATCCCGGCAGCAGGAGCCACCATGACTAATCTGACTGACAGTTACTCACTTTCTCTCCCAGGCTGCAGGATCTCAGCATGAGGATCATGCAAACTGTGACGTGCAAGTGTGAGAGCAGAACTGTGTGTCCACCACACTCACCGCTGGCCCCGGGGGGCCCTGGGGACCTTCTCCTCCTTTCAGTCCAGGTGCACCCTAGGGAAAGCGAAAACACAAAGACGACAAATAAATGTGGGCTGAATATAAATAGGAAATGCATGATTAATAAAAAGGGTGACAGGAGGCAACGTTCCTGACAGAAATGTAAGTACTTACACAGATACACAATGATAGTCAAATGCATCTATATGACTGTTTAGCTAAGCTCTGAGAAAATGGACCTAATGAGAAATTGCATGCACTTCCTTTACCTTTATAGTGATGTTACCTGAGCTCCAGGAAGTCCTCTTTCACCTGGGAAACCACGTAATCCTGCAGGTCCATCTTTCCCTGAGATACCTGGAAGACCTGGGTCACCCTAAGGAGTATGATACACCTCAGTCAACAAAGAGTAATTTATACAGATCTCTAGGAACAAAATTGTAGCTACTTCTAATCTACTGTTACATTTTAATATCATTAATATCATGTGATCACAGGAACACTGGGTGGAACGCCACATACATTAAAATGGAATAACCATATTTAGACTAAAGATTGCATATTAACTTGTGCTATATTATTGTTCACTAATGTTTTGGAGCGCACCAATGTCACACTAAATATTTCCCAGATTCTAATTTAAATACTGATATGGTGTCTGTAGACAGATGACAAGAAATACAATGAAAAGTTAATGGATGTTTTGAGCTAAAAACATCCTTTTTATACCTTTGCACCTTCCTTGCCTGCAGCGCCAGGAAGACCCTGCTCCCCAGGAGGGCCAGGAGGGCCGGGGTGCCCTCGTTCCCCTATTGGCCCGGTCTCACCAGTTGGTCCCTACATCATATTGGGGATGAGAAAACCATGTTAGACAGCTTCTTCATTTTAAGGAAGCAGAATGCAAACTCAAATATTGCTCATTTGCACCAAAAGTAATAGTCATTAATTTTCATGATGTTCTTTTTCTAAAGCACTGAAATAGTATCCTGGCAAGGTTCTGAAAAGATTATATGTAATTTTAAAAGCCAAGGTTACAGGAGAAATGTATAAAATCTACCAAGGCATTATCTTTGCTTAACGCCATATTTGCTTCAGAATGAGGCCAGTCCAATTCTATAATAACAACCATAATCATAAAAAAACCTTTGTTTTATAACTACAGCTTGCTACATTCCTTTTTACAAAAGGTGCCAAAGTAGCTGCAGAATGCAGAGTCACTGGAGCCAAGGTGGCAGATCTCAGTGAGTTTCTGCTTGATACTGAGCCAAGGACCTTGGACCCCGAGCAGCAGAAGGGCTTCTCCTGGGGGTTTCCACGATCTGGAAACTTTCCCACGGATAATTTATATTCATTTGAGAGGTCTTAAGAATGTGGCAGGGGGATCCTGATGGCAGTGCGTTTGGTCCAGCAGTTCTTCCAGGCCTAGGGCTATAACAAATAGCCAGCCACCTTCAATTGCAGCAAATGCCAAAGTGAAAAATGCCAGGTCATTTATATGTCCCCAGAGGGGTGCTGTTTTCTGGGGCTGGAGTATAATAAGCTTTCAAGTATACATCAAGAATGGAGACCAGTTTCTCTCTGTCTCCACTCAGAATGAAAAGCACAATGAAAGATTTAAATTAGAATTATATAAAGGGGAAAAGTCCAGATGCTATAGCTGTTAAACAGCAGAATATTTTATTGAAGTTGCTTGCATATTACCATTCCAGTTATTTTCTAAAAATGTAACATATTTTTTACACTTTGGTCTTGAGTAGAGAACACATGTGAATCTGTCTGTCTGTCTGTCTGTCTGTCTGTCTGTCTGTCTAGGTACCTACCTACCTACCTACCTACCTCTCCCTCCCCCAGAGCGTCACCAGCTCACAGGTGGGGCTCCCAGAGGATCGCTGGAGGACAGAGGATCCTGCAGCTGATTGGCTGGCTGGAGGTCAGGTCCAGCACAGAGAGGTGAGTCACAGAGGTAGCCTGAAACGATTCACCTCCCGGCCTGGCTCCCGCTTCCTGTCTGCCAAGCATGATCAGCCCTAATTTGCACATTACCCTTCCCTCTCTGGGGCCAACAGGACTATGACTATGACCCAAAGTAAACCTTTCCTCAATTGTTGGTGGCAGACATCATGTCCCATTGTACCCTTCAGATTCCATTTTTCTCATTCAGGTTCTCACACTAAGGATACACTAAATGGAATGAACTTATTCAAAAGGAAAGAGATACTGAGTTGAGAAGGACAGGAAAGGGAGTAGGGGAAGAAATTTATCTATGTAAGCAGGATGGTTTGGAAAACTGTACTGTGCATTTCTGCTGGCCTATGGAAAGAAGCAGTTAATGCTTTAATTTGTTTCATCTCCTTTTTTCAATTGTTTGTCCTTTTCTTAATTTCTTAGGGGGCTTGTGGGTTAGCTCAGTTGTTTAAGTGCCTGCTTGGGGAAACCCATTCAGGCACAGGGGACCATGGTTTGAGCTGCAGCTCCCTGTACCTTACTAGACCTGCCCTTAAGGTGGCCTCAGCCAGCCAAAAATAAATCCTTAATTTCCTATACATTTATTTCTCTTTTTCTTCTTCCAATTTTACATGCATGTATCTGATAATATGAATAACTGGTGGCAAGACATCACTATGTGTTACAACAAATACTGTGAATTTATATTACTTTGTTAGGTCAAAATGTGCATCACTTGTAATTTTTTTTTTTTTAATTCTAATTTGTCCTCTCCTTAAAAAAATTAAGGGGCCAGGGAGATGGCTCAGTAGAATAAGCACTTCCCTGGCAAGAGCAAGGGCCCAGCTCTGCCAAAAAAAAAAAAAAGAAAAAAAAAGAAAAAAAAGGAGACATTATGTCCCACAAAGAAAGGGCCAAAGACTCACTTCTACGGCATACGTGTGAGATGTATGTGGTATGTAGATGCATAGAAGTGCAGCAGACAAGCAGTCAAAAAAGCTCTGAATCAGAAAAGGCAGTGTACACCTACAATGACGCTGTATTTCCTTTGTGAAAGGACAGTTAAGATTTTCCTTTAAGGGCCGGTGAGATAGCTCAGTGGCGTAACGTGCTGCTTAGGCAAGCTTAGGCAAGCGCGCAGGGACGCGGTTCGATGCCCAGCACCATATGCTGTGCCTGCCCTGCCCTGAGGTGGGCTGAGCCAACCACAAAAAAAAAAAAAAAAAAAAATCCTTCAATTGAGGAATTATATTCTGAAATAAAACTGCCACCCAATCCAATGATTTTCTTTTGCTTCTGTTACACAGATTTCTAGAAAAATACAGAATTTCTCTCTGTGTATGTGTCTATCCTTGTACACGCATGTCTGTGTTTAGAAGTTGCCAAAGAGTGAAAACCAATCAGAGGTGCAGAAAAGACTACGTAAAACAATTAAATTGTTAAAATACTTCCAACTGCTCTTGTTCTTTTTCTATATTTAGTACTTGGTGTGAAATTCCAAAAGGCTAAAAGTGTTCTGTTCACGCAACATATTTTGTCAAAGAATAAAAACACTATTTTCTATTCACACAAGTTACTATCTGTAGCTATGTAATTTCCTAGCTCAAGATATCAATATTTGAGAATTTCTGCCACCTATCATGAGACATGTACTTGTCTTTGTCAATAGTACACATATGCTCAAAAAAAACCAAGTATTTTATCCCTGATATGACTAATTGTTCTAAAGACAAAATTCTTAATAGAAAATATGCTACAAATACTAAATTTTCAATTATAATATTAAGATATTTAAATTTTACTTTTATTATATATAAGTATGTAATTATGCTTATAGGCTCAATTTTTATTCCAAAGGCTAAAATAACGTTGTAACTTTAAATCTTGAATAGTCTATCTATTTAATAAAGTATTTCAGTTTTCAAAAACTAAACATGTGAAAAGTAGGTGACATAGTTAGGCTTTCCTGTTAAATTCATTGTAAAATTAATCTATTTTCATCATTTATTCTTAATTATTAAAATGAGCAACTGAATGGCAGCTTTAATGGTGTGCTGAATTTCACTGGCTGTTAGGAATATACACTTTGAGTCAAAACCAAATGGACAGATTTCAGACATTACTAAGATAAAAATATGAATCTTGCTAGAAAAATAAAAATACCTGTGGTCCAACAACACCTCCTGGCCCAGGGGGTCCAGTCTTGCCTTGAAATCCCTAAAGAAACAAAAGTAGAAGCTGTCATTATATTCCAATTTATTGACTGAAATTTTGTTGTCTTTACTATTTTACATTGCAACGTCATGGACACTACAATGAACTTCAAAAATAAGCTAATGCAATGAAGCTGAGGTAAAAATACATGCTTAACACTGTTTCACCGGATCAAAAAATACATAGATTTTTAATGACCAATGTTTATGGATAATATATATGATAATCTTCTTGTATTCTTTAATATAGTTCACTGATTATTTACACAGTGAAAATCTATAGTATGTGACATTTATTCATTTCTTTCTCTGCAATCCAACAATTTTACAATAGAAAACAAAACATTATCAAGAAAATATGATATATGATTTGCAATCATTTCAGTTTTTTATCAGTGTTCTTTCTTTTTTTTTTTAAATTTTTATTTATTTATTTATTTATTTGAGAGAGAGAGAGAGAGACAGAGAGAGAGAGAGGCCAGCTCAGCCCACCAGGGGGCGGGGCTGGCTGGCATGTGGTGCTGGGGGATTGAACCGCGGTCCCTGATGCTTTGCTGAGCTTGTTTTAAGTAGGTGCTTTAGACCACTGAGCCATCTCTCCAGCCCAGTGTTCTTTCTTAAAACCCAATATAGTTAGAAATGTACCTTTCAGTCATTAAAATATATTATGGTTGATTTGAGAAGAATATACTCACTAAGTCAGTATTTTGTTAATATATTCTGTTTCTACATTTATAGGCTTCTTACAGATTATTCACTGTATAGAATAGACAAATTGTTTTCATATGGTTCAGTTACATTTAACATCTATAGAAATACTAAAATAATACTGAAAAACCTTTCAAAGAGCTGAAATAAAGTCAATAAGGTTTGCAAAATTTTACTCACTACAATACAATCAGGCTAGAAATTATAAAGTTATCAAGAAAAACTAGAACCTAGTAGCCCCAGAAATTTCCAGATGCTTAGATTGAGTTAAACAAAATTTTATAGGCAGATAAAATAATGTATATTCACAAATATTATAATTGATGCTACAGAGAAAAAAACCCTGGCGTCTTGTATTTTTAAAACTAATTCTTAAAACAATCTGGATTCTATAGAAGCTATTACTGTAAAACCAATTATGATTATTTTTATTTATTTATTTATTTATTTTTTTTGCGGAACTGGGGATTGAACTCAGGCCGTTGCGCTTGCCAGGGAAGCGCTTATTCCACTGAGCTATCTCCCCAGCCCCGCAAAACCAATTAAATTTGGGAGAAATTATCCTATAATTGATGTAGCATTTTAAAATTAAAATCACATGTTGCTCATTTTAGCTTTTCAGAAACTCACAGGTTAACTGATGTACAAACACAGGGTAAACACACGTGCGTGTCTGTGTGTGTTTAGGAGCGCACCGCACACACTACTTCCCGCCTTATGCCAGCAGCCTCCACGCCCCATTCTCACCTCTGTGTTTGTAAAGCACTCCACCTACGCCGAATGATCTCTAAATGCCTAACTGTGCTGAGCGCTGAGGCTCAGCATGCTGCTGGACACTGCCAGCTCTACCGTCTGCTCTTCTCCAGTATTCTCAGCGTGGCGCTTGCGGACTGTGTCCGCGCCCTCCAGGGTCCCCCTGTGCTCTTTCCCTTTAACCCAACAACTTCATATCCTGGGCTTTGGTTGGATCTTCACTCAGTCATTGATGTTAGTGTCAGCAAGGAACTCTTTCAAAAGACAGCTTCTCTCTTGCACAGTACACTTGCATTATTCAAACTGGAATCTTTTTGATGATCAAGATTTTCAACTCAGTTGCACGTGCTTGTCCACATTAGCCAGGATGATCATCTTATTTAAGCTAACTTAATCAACTTAGTATTGACTAGCTAGAATGCCGGACAGTATCAGCAACAAAGCTCAGAATAGCCGGGCTACATTTCCAGACTTTGCTTTGCAAATGCATTTTAGGTTCGAATCACGTTCACCTTCTCACCTTCCTCAGACACTCGGATCTTGTACTGCACAATTTATTCCCTCCAATAAAATTATCCTTCCAGTTCAACTTGAAGGGACAAACACAACTTTGAATTAAAGACAAAATAAATAAAATCTTGTAACTCTTTCTTTTAGTCACTGTGAGAGCAAGAATGTATCCTAGAAATTGTAATAGTAATAACTGATTGAAAGGAATTGATTAAAAATTACTATTTTAATTCAGCAAAGACTACAGAAATTTATAACACATCACTGCATAGTTAAGGGAAAAGCACACACAGCTGCTGGTCCCGGGCGACAGACCTGCAGGCGCACGGCTTCACACGCGCTTCCTCACCACGTTCAGAACGCTCACAAGTACCCAGCGCCATCTGATGCAAGGGGTACGACAAACTAGCTAAAATTTAAGTGCCAAGTGCAGCTTGTTCATTTGATATTATCAATTGTAATGCTACATTTAATTTTACAATAAGGTAATGTAATGTTCAAAGTCCCTGAAAACAGAAATTAATTTTGTAGATTCATGAGTTCAGAAAAACTGCTGCTAAACTAAACAAAAATAAATCTCTAATGATTTCTAAATGGCTAAATTAATTTTAGTAACTATGCTGGATGACACCATATTTCAGATAGAGCTGGGCTATTTCACTGTAATAGGTACTATTTCTAATATTTCCTGCATGACGTGTAGAGCTTCACTATATAAGAAACCAAGACAAATCATGAAGGATATATGAAGGGGTAAAAACCTCAAATATAATAAAAGAATTTCTTCTTTGAAATTAGGTAACTCTTTTATAGCAGAGCTCAGCCAGTTAGACTAACTCTCGTACAAGGAAATCTCTGAATTCCACTCAGCATGGGTAAAGGCAAGAAAGAACAGCTCCTGGCTACAAGGTGATTTGCTTAAAAATTGATGTGGTATCAAGAATATAATTCTCGGGCTGGGGAGATGGCTCAGTGGAACAAGCGCTTCCCTGGCAAGCATGAGGGTCTGAGTTCAATCCCCAGTTCCGTCAAAAAAAAAAAAAAAAAGAATACAATTCTTGAGAAATAATTCTGGACTTTCCTATGAGAAACCAATAGACAGAAGCACTCTTCCCAGAAGCATTAGCTAATATGCTATTTTTCTTGTTTAAATTTAAATGTTATAGTAGATGTGGCTACTTTGGATAGAAACAGAGCTATTGATTAAACTGAAGAATGAGAGGTTTTTATTTATTTATTTATTTATTTAGTGGAACCGGGGATTGAACTCAGGCCCTTCCACCGAGCTATCTCCCCAACCCCTAAAAATTTTCAGAGTTTTTGAACTTGCGGTACCAGGGAGAGAGATTTTTAATGTGGTAATTCTTTCAGGTATCTCTTCCTCAAAAGACCTTACAAAAATATTTTAGAGTTACTCCCAGAAAGATATATGCCTTCATAAAAAAATGAACAGCTACAAAATCTAGATAAAAATACATTTGCAAATTTGAGTGTAGATCCTTTTTTAGAGAGTTACTGTTTTTCTCCTTAGGTAGCTCCCACTCCCAAGGGGCAACCCCAACGATTTTATTCTTTGGACTCATTTGCTAATCCTTGAATCTGCTGTTGAAGGTCAAGACTGTGCAGTCTGTAGCCCAGCTGACACTAAGTTGTGAGCCTAAGAACTGTCACTTGGTGACTGAGGCAGTAACTGGGTTGCTGTTGACAGTCAGCTTCTCTGATGGCAGAAAAGTAATAAAATCTGAAATTCATGATCACATGTTTTATCAATTCCAAATTACGTTGTCAAGCTGACAGAATGCCCTAATGTGATTTTGACCCATGGAATCAAAGGTAGACTGTACAGTGGCTTCCTCAGGACATCAGATAAAGCTAATCATATGTGAGAGCCAAGAACTACTTGCAAGGGAACATCCCAACCCGGGGTACTTCTGATTAGAACAACATCCCACTGGGATAGCAGGGGGTTTTTGGGTTTTTTTTTTGGCGGAACCGGGGATTGAACTCAGACCCAAGCACTTTTTCTACTGAGCCATCTCCCCAGCCCTGGGATAACAGATTTCAAGTATAGTTAATAAACAAACAAGCCTATCAGAATCGTTATACTCTACTGGAACTACCAGTTTTTCTTCTGCCTAAATTATTATACATATGATGTGATTGAGTCAATTTTTTAAATGTTGTATTTGTTATTGTTTTTAAATAAAAGTTACATTTGTTCTCCAGCTACATATTCCACTTGACACAGAGGATTCAGCTGACATACTTCCAGAACAAATGAGCCCTCTTTGTTCTAAAATCAGCAAATCTCTCTTCCTTCAGTCCAACGTTAGCAGGATGCACGACGTGCATGACTTGCTGAACAGCCTTGCTGTCCGGCAGTGGTGGTGGCGCCTCAGATGGGCCACACGCACAGACTTCAGTGAAAACAGCAAGGTGGCAATCGTGAGGAGGTATTCAAAAAGCACTGAGAGTGCTGGCAAGACAGCTCAGCAGACTCAGCGCCCGTTTAGGCGAGCAGTAGGGACCGGGCTTTGATCCCAGCACCATAGGTTGCGCCAGCCCTGCCCCTGGGCACACTGAGCTGGCCACCAAGACTCAGCGTGGTGGTACGTGCCTATAATCCCAGCACTGGGGAGGCTGAAAACAGGACCAGCACAAGTCTGAGCTGCGCAGTGAGACTCTGTACCAAATACATTAAACAAATAATGAAGCTTTCTCCTTCAGTTCATTCTTAAAGTGCTGATATTGATGATGAGAGCAATAATTTCAACCAACATCCTATATTTTGGGATGCTTTTAGTTATAAGTTTGGACCTATTTATGTATTTATTTGTAGGTTTTACTGCAAAGTTCAAAGGTTCAAAAACTTTTCCTTAATTTTCTTCAAACTGATAACCGTAAACAGTAAAGTATACAGATAGAAAATTTCAACCGAAGATTAGAATTACTCACAGTCTCCCCACGTTGCCCAGGGTGTCCTGGTAGCCCATCTTTCCCGGGTGGACCCTGGAACCACAAATATAAACAAGCTGTGTCATAAATACTTGGAGAGGTATTTCACAGTGTGAATATTATAGATGATTCCTTATATTTCTTTGTGCATCATACTGTAATGCTCTGATACCTGCTACATGGGAGCACACACGTGTAACCACGTCACACAGCTATGGCTACGACTGAGACTAAAAAACTTACAGCTCTATTCCAAACATTCTATGCTGAATGAACTTATTTGAGCTGCACTTACCTTTCCAAAGCATATTTGCATGTGTTCAGATTTGTATTTTTGGAAAAAGTTCTTTAGTACTTGACTAATATTCTTTTGGTAGTCACCTGTTCAGAACTCGTCTCTGTGCACTGAAACACAGACAGCAGGGACACGCTGTCCTCTAGTGGCGATCCAACCATGCTACAAGAATACATAGGAAGCAGCAACACTGTGCCTCAGTCTGCTTCAAGTGGAAGAACCAATGTGTCATGCTCAATCCTAGAAACCGTCAGAGCAAACTCTTCTTGTGGATTTTCTTAAATAAACCCTTTGGAAGCAAAGTGGTTATTAAGAACTAGAGAGCAAATCTACCAAAGCGTCTTGTCTTCTGTCATGTGTGAATCCATGAAACTATTAAGTACTTAAGGCAAATGACTCTGAAAAGTTCCTACATTTTAAATATTTAGAGCTTCAGACTCCCTTACAGAACACACATTTGCCTCCAAAACTATTAAAATTTTAGATCAGAACCAGTGGGTACAAGCCCAGGTACTTCTCACCTTGCTGGACAAATGAGAACAAGCACCTAAAGCAGCATTCCTGATGACCACAGTGGGTCACTCTCTACATGTTATGTGAGTAAACTGATTTTAAATATCCATCTTTACACGCATTAATGCGGAGTGAGTTTGAACTAAAGGCTTTATTTCACAATAAGCTCGCTGTCACAGACAGCTTTCCTCCACCACGAAGAGCTTCCCCAGCTTGTCCGCACACGTGCGCCCTGCCCACAGCAGCACTGACGCACTGGTTTGTATGTGCGCCAGCACCTTTAGCTAACAACTGGCACCATACTCGACAAGATCACAGCTTGTTTGGTGATTTGTCACACTTTCCAGAAACACCTCTGTAATTCTAGTCAATCTTCCTCAGAAACACCAAACTTTGGACACTTTTTTAAAAAGGGCCCCAAATGTTCCTGGACATATGCTAAACATTTTTTTCTATAAAGATGATACAGTGCACATCCACCCATGCCTTAGCTGTCAGCATATGGCAATGGAAGAAGCAGATCTGTGCTTAATGTAGAGGTGAAACAGAAGTAAATCTTTAACTTCTAATAGATTTTATCCAAGTTCAGCTTTTCAAAACAGCAAATAAAAATGTGTCTCAAATGATGTTTTTGCAATCTATACAAGACATATATGGTACTAAAAATCTGAAATGTATAAACACTTCATTATGATTGGTGAATTAAAGTACATTAGTACTTTACTTCAAAATTATGATCCTTTCCAGGACTACCCTCACATCTAATGACGCCCTCGCAGCGTGAATATGCCACTTGTCATGGTGTTTCTGCACAGTCTGATGCACCAGGCTTCACGGTCTCATAAAAGAACATGGCATCATTCTTTGGTCTAAGTGTGTATTTCTAATATTAAGCAATTAATTTTTAAAAACTGTAATGGCTCCACAATACTATTTAATAAAATACTGCACACCAGTTGACAAATACGAATGGAATTTATTCAAAAACGAGAATTTTATGAGCCAGGGAGTGAGTTCACTGATGCAGTGCCTTCTTGGCAAGCAACAGGTCCTGAGTTCAATTCCCAGTTCCCGCCAAAATACAAAAAACAATGGTATTTATCAACATAGCTTGCTCCTCTAATGTAAGTTGGTGGATGAAGGAGACAAATTCATCAAAAGGAAAGAACACTGATCCAGCAAGGTATGCTTTGAAGACACTTTTTAATGATTGCTTAGAGATGTTTTCTCACCCTCATTCATACTGAGTTCTGACTTTTTCCCCATCAATAAATGGAATGTTCTTTATAATAGTCACGCTATAAATTTTAATCACATCAAATTAGAATTGTTTTTAAGTGGGATGACTATATATTTTTTAAATACAGAAGCATTACCATGAGATGAACAGAATGTAATTGGAACATTTCAAGTATGCAATCTATATGAGCCTGTCTGTACATGACTTTTTCAGATACAATTACAAACATATCATTTTGTAGAATGACATCATTGTATCTCTCCACCTGATATTTTTTATTTCAAAAAGAGGAAGGCATTTGTTTCCCAGATACAGGTGCAGTGTTTTATTTAACAATGAAAGGAACGTTTCGTATCAGTGTCATATCACTAAATGCTTTTCAAGTATAGCCATTTACTGTATTTCTGATACTTTGTGGAGAAAAAATGAGTGCAAAATTGGTAGCTCACCATGTTGAAAGACACATGAGCGACAGACTGAAAAAGTCTAAGGAAACCTATTAATGGCTTTGTTTGACCAAAACAACCATATTAGAGAAACAACCTAGAACGATATATACAAATGTAAATGAAAGAATAGCACTGTGGTTACAGACCTTAATGGACTTCTAGAAGTTAGCCATAATCTAGGAATGTTGTTTTAAAACAGTTTCTTATCAGAAGAAATATGTGTACACTCACTTTAGGAAATTTGTGGTTTTTTTGAAAGTTAGCACAGATTAATCCGTACATTTGGATCAAAACTTAGTGAGTAAATGACATATGCTGTTAATGTCAGTATTACATTTAGTAACAGCTTATTTTGTTGATTCTTTTCTGCAGTATAAATAGCAACAGTTTCTTGATGTCTTTGAAATAACAAATCAGAACTGTTCAGTGTTAAGCAGCTTCAAAAATAATTGCAAAAAAGTGGAGATTGCTTTATCCTTCCATATTGAATACCCGTTAGTACTTCAAAACAAGTAATTCACTGTTGAGTTATATGTTCATCAACAGTTGGGGCATATGGTCTAGTCTGGGTGTGAAGAAAGGCTCACACATGCTAGCATGAATCAGGACCACTGGGAGCACTGTTACAGCGGGACCTGGGTCCCTCTGCAGGGTTCCGAGTACGAAGCGAGACTGCGTTTCTAACAGTGCTGCAGAGGCTACTGACACCTGCAGGCTACAAGCGGACTGTGAGGAGATCTGTACTCCACAGACAGGTAAGTGGAGTCTAGTTTAAAGGACTGAATAGGTTCCAGAAAAGAAAGAAACAGGAAGCAACTAAGTCTGCTCTGTTTCAAGGAATATATAAATTTTAAGTAAAGTTCTTCAATTAACTTCATAAAGGTATTTATAATGGCATTAAAAAGAGTATTGCTCTGCTGGATGAGGGGCACATGCCTGCAATCCCAGCATTCAGGAGGTGGAGGTAGAAGGAGCACCCTGAGTTCCAGGCCAGCCTGGGCTCCATAGTGAGTTCAAGGCCAGCCTGAAGTACACAGCATGACCCTATCTTAAAAATACACACACACACACACACACACACACACACACACACCACACAAAAAAGAGAACTCCTCCTCTGCAAACAAGATTATTAATCTCATCAAATTTTATTTAAAAAATTATGTTACTTCATAAAAGTTACCTTTGCTTTCCTAAGAAAATATATTATAGAGACAAAAACATTTTGAATAAATAAATTTTAACGTTATATAATTAGTACCAGAATATTGGAAGGAGTTTAGGAAATTATAATTGAACAGGAATGTAAAATTCTATTTGGAGATGGAAAATAAAAGGGAAATTCCAATTCACCAAATACTTAATATGTGTAACAATTTTAATGTCATCAACAATAAGGATTTTGTAGAAGAAGAGTAGCTGAGAAAATGATATTCATATTGTTCAAGTCTTTGATGTAGTTTAGAAGAACACTTAATAAGAGATACCTGAATTATATTCAAAACAGTCTGAACTTCCTAAGTTGAAAATTTATTCATGACTTTCAATCTTTCAGTTCAATTTTATTTTATAGGGATTTTATCAGTATTCATACATAAAATTTATTTAAAATATAAAACTGAACTGTCAGAAATATAGAAATATGGTTGAATAGAGGAAGGAAGAAAAGGACAGAGAGAGACAGAGACACTTACAGGAGGGCCTTTCGGGCCAGGGAATCCAACGGGTCCCTGAGGTCCTTGCGGTCCCTAAGAGTAAAAAGCAGAGGAGAAAAATTAACAATATGCCTTAAGACACATCATTATATTCTGTAGTTTATTTCTATAAATAGAATGCAATCTAGCATACAACTTCTTAATCATAATAACAAAGCTATGGAATGCAGCATGATAGTAAGTATGTTCTGGCTCTACTCAGACACAACTACGATAGAAATGAGTGTTTCAAACAATCACAGAAAATACCTTTAACTAGTCTCTTAAAAATACATTTTAAGGGGCTGGGGAGATGGCTCAGTAGAATAAGCACTTCCCTGGCAAGTGCAAGGGCCTGAGTTCAATCCACAGTTCCGCAAAAAATAAAATAAAATAATAATAAATATATATATATATATGAATGTTAATATCTTATTTTACTCATTTATGAATTTCTTTGGTAGACAAAATAAAAGATGCATAGTGTTTCTTCACTATTAACATTCAGTCTAATTATGTATTATGTCATTTCTGGCTTGATGTTCACTGAACTGTTATTCAGATATCATATTTACATATATTTAAAACGCATGAAGTAGGCCCTAATACAGTGATTATGTTGCTGACAGAGACAGGCCGGGTAGGAGACAATTCTGTGCTAGCACAGAACATAGTTGTTCTATTTAAAATCTAAGTATGTAAAATAAATCACAATAGCAATACAGTTTCATAAGTAAAAGAAACAGGACAGGATTTGTGCATTTTTCTACTCAAAAATGGCTTTGCTAACGATGGCCTTTAACAGAGGTTTTGAGTCATCGGGTTAGCCTTTGCAGGAGACTTTACTGTCATTCTTATGGCCATGTTAACTCTGAAATCACCACCAGCTTTTACTACAATTAACATCTTAAAATTTAAAGAAAAGAAGAAAGCAGCTACTGCCCTGCTTCCAGATAGCCCACAGGATACTTCAAGGTGTATATTTTACATTATTTTTTCTTCCCTTTTTCTGGTCTGTATATTTGGCCCAAGTTCACTCTGCACAGCCAGCTTTCCTCTACCCTTCTGGTTTTTTCATACTTTATTAGTGTACTAATCATACTTATTAGTGTAAAATTTTCACACACACAAAATCAAAAAATCAAAACGAGAATCTTCAAATTTTTAAACATAGTTTTTAAAAAGGAATCACATGGAATTAGTGAAGAACTGGGCTTATTTTAGGAATTAATAAAATTTTTAAATTGACATTAAACTGGAACTGCGATTCTTAAGTATCACTATACCTTAAAATAAAAAAAAATTACATACAAAATTTTAAGATATTTTATTTTGTAGCAAATTCTAGTTTCTAAGTTTTTAAAACATCTTTGCTATACAAAATATTGCTTGTCTTCATAACATATAATTTTAATCTTAAAATCCCTAAACAAAAATATTTCCAAAATCACTACTTCAGAGCAAATAAAAAAGAAAAACTGGGGTCCTGCTTTCCAAAATTCCAAGAAAAGAACTGGAGCCCCCTTATCTGTAGTTCCACTTTCTTCAGAGTTTCTGCAGTTTCACTTTCTGTATAGTTACTCATGTTTCATTCTGCTCAATTAATTATTAATTTTGAATAGAAAATTCCAGAAATAATCTGTAACACTCTGCCTAGCAGGACAAAGTCCTGCGCCCCGTGCCCATCCCTTCGTCATGTCCCACGCTGTGCCTCCCACCACTCATGACTCCGTTAGCAAGCCTCTCAGTCCTTGGTGTGCCGTCACGTACCCCAGCGCTTGGTTCCTTACCCCTCATTTACTTAGCAGTGCCCTAACAGAATACAGGCAGTGATGCTGCAAAGGGGTTACAGTATGCCAAGTTCGATTTCATTATTACTGATATGTAAGAACGGGGGAGCACACACAGATGATGTCAGGCTCACCAGCGGCTGACGCTGCCAGCCCCATCTTGGAACACAGACCAGACAGACAAAGGGGAACCTCTAGATCCTCTGGGTAAGACAAAGAAGTGATCCCTACTCAGTGGACAGATTGTACTGGAAGCCACTGAGGATCACCAGAAAATACATGCTGTGCAAAATTCCAGTTTTGAATTTTAGGTAAATGATGAGTAGTTTTTAATATGCCTTAATTACTACAATGGACATACTTATGTCAAAGTTACTCAATGTTCATGTAAAATTGCAAGTTAATTAGAAATCTTGGTCCTCTGTCTTTTCACTATCTGTTCTGATAAGCCTGGCAATTTTTAAACTAATTACAAGCTACATTAATTACCCCTAATGACAAGTACATATTTTCTTCCAATCACCTTTATGAAGGACAACATTTAATTTGCAGAGTTTTTAATGAAATATATGTATCACACATAAACATTAGCATATTACTAAAGGAGTTATTTAAGATATGCAAAAATAAGAAATGTATTTTCTGACTCAATGGTACCACAAAATTCTGTGAACCTACCAATTCACATATTTTGAAAAAAGTATGACGCAGCATTACTTCTGACATTCAACTGTATCACTGAGACATAAACTGAAATAGTTCATAATATTTAAAACTTCTTTCCAGTAAACGAGCACATTAAGAGAAAGTTCCCATCTACTACATAGAATAAAGATGTACAAATATCTATTTGAAAATGAATCTCTCTAAATTAATAAACAAAATAAAACCTCCACCTTGATTCTTAAAATGTACTTTCTTACTCTAAAATAATTTTTATACTTATACCAACCACACTTTTGGGTCACACTATTGTTTCCAAATTAAAATGCAATATCTCTAAAAGCGCAATTACTTTAAAGTGATACTACTGATTATAAGATTTTGTAATGTATACACAAATCACATAATGGAATGGGTTTTGCTTTAAAAAACTCAGTAGTGAAATAATTCATTAAATTGTTGGATTTTACTTCATGATTCACCCATTTTAATTAATTCAACTATGTTTTTATTAAAATGGTTTTAACCACAAAATAAATCAAATACATGTATTAGTTATGAATTCAAAATATATAGGATGAATATACTTAATTCTAGAATAGTCCATGAAGAATGAGAAAAAAATTGAAAGTGTAATTAAATATGAGCTAAACCCATAAAGTAACATTAGTTAAATGTTTATTATTGCGTCTTGTCTACTCACATTTTTGTCACAAATAGGCTGTTTTATTCACCATTTGTTACTCAACAACTATTACTCATTCTCAGTTTTAAAAAAATGTATCACAAGGTGTTTTGGCTTTCCTTTTCATAAAACAACTGTGTTTAAAATAATGACATTAAAGTGTATTAATAGGACTATACAATATTAAAGATATTATAGAAAAATAAAAGAATTCTGATTTCTTCCAATATGATATAGACATCTATATTGAAAATTCTTGCAAGAGAACAACGTTAAGAATCTGGCTTTTAAAAAAATGTTGCATTATACCAAAACAAAAAGCCAAACAAAGGGCAATTTGTTCACCTGCAAAATGGCTTTATTTTACATCAACTGAAAATCAATTTCCTCCATAGCTGCAGTCTACTGGAACAGCTATTTTATCTGAGGTGAAATGTGCGTCGAGTGCAGCCTGCACTCTTACCAGCATAATGCTGCTGATTGCTCCATGAACAAACTGAGTATTTATATAAAACCCAGACACGTGGATGATGGGCACAACACTGGCGACGCTGCTGGAATAAGAAAACTTACTCTGGTCTGGATTAAGTATAATAATATATTAGGTGAATTACACACATTATTTCTTTAACTTCTATAACAAAATAATTGGATATATAATGGATCAAGCTTTGAAAGAATAAAGAAAAATGAATAAACTGGAAATGCATGTTTTCCCAGATGTTTAAACAGCTGCATAAAATATTAATTTTATTTTATGAGACTTTATCATACTTACTCTTTCCCCTGGCGGGCCAGGAGGGCCATCACCACCTGAAGTTCCCTGGAGAATAAAAGAAAGAAAGAGAGGGAGGGAGAGAGTGGAGACAGAGAGACAGAGAGAGAAGAGAAACATCAGTTGTGATTCTTTCTGACTGCACCCATCCTTTGGAGGAATTCGCTGCAAAAATCAAAAGGAACAAGTTCCCAAAATACCTTGGCTCCCGGTTTCCCTGTGGGCCCTCTTGCTCCTCTGGAACCTCGAGGACCCTGCAAGGCAAAGTAAGCCTATCTAAGCAAATGCAAAGACACAAAAATATTGCTACAGAGACTGAGAAATGAAAATGGCTGACTGAAATGGAGCCACTCACCGTTGGCCCACGCTGCCCCCGAGGCCCCGGCTTGCCGGCTACTCCCTGACAAAGACAGTTAAACACACTTTCAGTATGCAGAACACCAAGTAAGCTGTGAGTCTGGCTCATGCAGGGACATTTCCATTAGCCAACTGGAGACAATGTACGTATGTGTCATACCCGTGCACCTTTCTCCCCGTTGGCACCCGGAAACCCAGGAAATCCAGTAGAACCCTGGAATTATAAAGATATGGAACAATGAACGTGGTAATTAAAAGTTACTGGGCAGAAATTGTGATTTTTGAAACAGTGATTCTGAAATAGCTGACAATGTTTAAATCATAAATATAATTATGAATCATATAATTAATTTTAAGACACTGTAACTTTCATTTATATATTTGAAAACAACTTACAATGGCATCTGAAATCCTGGAAGCAGTAAAACATGAATTGATAGAACGTAGTTTAGTATTTATTATTAAAATGAAGATAACTGATAAAATATCAGATCTCCAATTTCAAAATAGCATTAGAGGAAATTTATTGTGAAATACATTTTTAACTCAGACTTCATACCTGATTCACTGCTAAAGAAAAAAACCTTTTTTTCATTTCTATGAATAATTAAACATAAAGGCAGAGACATTAAGAACCATTTCTTGAATTAACTTTGCGTTTGTGTACCTGCCACTCCTGAATACTTCAAACCTTCAGAACCTGGCTAAGCCACACAGACCCTCACAGCCCCCACGTCGGCGCCGAATGCGACCACACGCGGCCAGCAATCCGGGCCGCACTCCAACATAACTTCTGGCATCTGCAAGCCCAAAGGTCTGAATTCAAAACTAATGTCTTTCATACATAAGCAAGTTAAGTACCTTTTTTTTTAAATCCCTTTGAGAATAGTTGTTTTCTTCTACAAAATGAGGGCAATAATTACATCTTATGGCTACTTTGAAATTTGTGAGAGACTGGAATAGAGAGTGTTGGGTACTAAGTGGTAATAACAGATGATTAAAAATGACTGTTTTCAAATGTAGTAAATAGAAACATTATTTCATTTAGTCTAAAAATGGCCACATTTTCACACAGAATGCAATGATCTCCAATAACTAAATCCTCCAAGTTCACTGTGTGCATATACCTAACTTTTTAACTTCTCAGCCCTTTTGGATCATGACTGAGACTGGTTTGCCCTTTAAGTCAATAAATAGAGTAGATTAGGGTATAAGCCCCACTCCTGGGGACGCTGAAGACGCTGGAGGGAGTTTCCAAATATTCAATATTCCTACTGAGAACACTGCCTGGATCAAATGCAATAATGTGCTAGGTCTCTAACAAAGAGTAGCAGACTTCCAACTTTTTAAATACTACCCCATATAACGAAGGAAAACAGCAGTCGCCTTTGACTTCCATGTGTTTCTTGCTTTTGTGAATCAACTCTTAAGTACTGAACTACCCCTAAAAGGAATGTGGTAGGTGGCTCCTCTGTATCAGAGAAATCTGAAGTGTTGGTAAAACTCTGAATTATTGTGTCACACTCCAGAGCGACTGAAATGGAAACAGACCCCAATGCAGGGAGGGCGGGAAGCAGCTCCTTGAGCCACACAAACTTAGACGTTTGGAATGCTTGGAAGCTGGTTCTTAGACAAGCACAATGACAAGAGGCAAAAATAACAGTGTTCCCAACATGTGAAGGTAACCAGTACCATCCTAACTTCAGAGCAGTAAACAGATTATAAACTCAGCAGACAGACTGCATGCCAGCAATTGCCTCTGTAAGAGCCATTACAACAGGCCAAAAAATGCACGCCACACCCTCATAACTGCCGATGGTCCAAATGATCCAAATATGCATTGTTAGGTTTCTTTATATGATCAATTTTTCAATATATTCTAATTCATAATCATAGAATTAAGTTGTGATCAATCTGAAGACGATTATTTGGATGAGTAATGTTCAATCCTGGGAGGAAAATCTGCTCAAATTATATTATTTTTTTTTAAATTTATTTTATTTATTTATGTGTGTGTGTGTGTGTGTGTGTGTGTGTGACCAGCTCAGCCCACCGGGGGGCGGGGCTGGCTGGCATGTGGTGCTGGGGGATTGAACCGCGGTCCCTGTGCTTTGCTAAGCCTGTTCTAAGTAGGTGCTTCAGACCACTGAGCCATCTCACCAGCCCTCAAATTATATTATTTAAAAAACTTTCAAATCTTTTCTTTCTCTGAAGAGAGTCAAATAAAGTTACATCTGGTACAGTTTCACTGTGATTATTCTATGATATTAACATGTGAATACGATACAGAAAAATTTACATTAGTCAAATTTTATTTGGTAACAAATAGTTATATATCTACCATAATATCTGAGTAATAGTTATGTAGTAAACCATGTTGCTCTTGTGCATAAATGTGTAAGACTATTTTCTTATAGCAATTTTGCTCTAGGAACTTGTGCATAAAATACAAAAGTATTAATGTACCAATTAAGCAATTTCTAATATATAGCAATCATCTTTTTCTTTTTACCATTTAAGAATTAGGAGATGACATGTTATCATCTCACGAAATATTTTAAAAGAAAATATACAGCTTATATAAAATGATAGTACCAATCTGCTTTTAAATAGAGAAAAAATATAAGACTACAAAATCAAAAGACATTATCTTTGGGCAAGCGCAGGGACCACAGTTTGATTCCACATGCCGCGCCAGCCACAACCCTGGGTGTTCTGAGCCAGTGAGGGAGTCTGGGCATGGTGGCGCATGCCTGTAACCCCAATGCTGGGGAGGCTGAAAACAGGAAGACTGCTACAAGTCTGAGCTGTGCAGTGAGATCCTGTACTAAATACATAAAATGAAAAAAAAAAGATATTATCTGACATTGTCTCAGTCAATAAATGTAAAATTTTCAAAATTACTTTGAAAGCTTGAATTATAAAAGTATACTAAACTGAACTTAACACTTTGAAACACTATTATTATACATTACATTTGTGTACTTTAACACCTATTAAAATTTATATTGCTTGTAAGCCAATGAATAAAGTCTCTAGTTACACCCCTTTCATTGCTTCAAAGAGATTAACAACCAAATTTCAGATAATCAAGACAGATTTTTTTAAATTCATTGTCTTCCAAGTAGGAAAAAAAAAATGTGAAGCTATCTTTGATCTTTGATGTGCCCTATTTTTCTGATTTATCAGTGGGAAACCTAAAAGCTTTTTGATCATAAAAAACCTTAGTTATGAAAAAGGCAATATAAAACATAATGACAAGAATTCCAGACACCGAGTTAAAAGGGTAAGTTTGATTTCTCTGGGAAGAAATATATCTCTTTAGTCATTCTGTTACATTTTGCTAATAAAAAGAATACAAGTAATATTGATTAGAGAACTGACTTAGAGGAACAGAGAAAAGATCAGAATTTCAAATAAGCTCATAAAATAAAATTGTACTTATTCAAGTAATAGCATGACAGTTTTCTATATATTTAAGTCAAAATCATAGGACATTACAGTTGCAGTTCCATTGGGTAAATGAAAGCATTTGTGAGCTGCTACAGATTAAGGCCATGGGTATTCAGTAAATGGCTTCTTTTACTTGTAATATTTGTGAAGATTCTTCACATTTGAATGGAAAGAAACTGATGACAGACCAATCAATATATTAGAGATAATACTTTAAAAAGTAAATCGATTTATCATTATTTTCTACGTAGACAGAAACAATGATGCTTGTATTATTTTTAAAACATAAGAATCTTACTTTAGAAGGAATAAAAATAATACTGTATCTTACACACATAAAAATAATTTTCTGGAATCTTAATAAAAACTAAAAGATAAAACAACAGAAAAAGCCAAAATGCTGTAACTACATGACAAGGACTGCCACAGCACGTGCAGGTCACATCTGCTTGGGGGGACATTGGGTCTCTCACTGGATACCTGTGGAAGTTACTAAGAATGTATACATAAGGAGACTCCATGACCAGGATTTTACCTGATAACTAAATAGGTCAAACCAGGGCAGGGAGACAGACTGACGTAGAAAGACAGCCTCATGTACATATCATTAAAACTAGAAACTACACTGTAGGTGACATGCTAAAAATGGGTATGCATGTACTGCTGTAATACTAATATCCAGTATTTATATATTAATTCATGTAGCCATCTTCATGTAAGTAGTAAATGTATATCAAGTGCAGCCTTAAGAAAACTTTTACAATGAACTAGAAAAAAAAGTACACCAAGGACAACATAAAATCACAAAGCCATCATTGTTTATAATTAAGCTAGGTAGACTTTAGATACCCAAATGTCAGCCAAGCATGCCGACGCACACCTGTAATCCTATACTTGTGAGGCAGAGGCAGGATGACTGCTATGAATTTGAGGCCAGCTTGGATCAGATAGTGAGTTTAAAGTCAGCAAACACTATATAGAAACACCCAGTCTTAAAAAGAAAAAGCAAAAAGGCAAAGATGGGCAGACACACAGACAGACATAAAGGAAACAAACACACAAACAAAAAAACAGAAATGAACTTTTAGTGGTAAACTAGGTTGAATCAGAGTTCAACAAAAGCTATATCCAAGGCCAAATCTCCATGACCTGAGATGACCTTACCTGGAGAAATAAAAAGGTCTTCCATAAATGTAATCAGATTAAGAATCTGAAAAGATCTTCCTGGATTGGCCAGGACAAGTGTCTTTATAAAAGACAGAAGACATCGACAAGCAGGAATAAACAGTCGGCTGCACGAGGATATGGCAAGGTCTGGAGCTGTGCGGCCCACATCTCAGATCACCTGAGCTAGCAAAGGCTGGAAGGGGCAGGACAGGCCCTTTCTGAGAGTCACTGGAGCGAGGAAGGCCGTGCTGACTCCCTGCCATTCAATCTCTGGCCTCCTGAAGGCAAGAAAGTAAATTCCCATGGTTTAAGTTAAGTTTGTGGTAACTGTTACGTCCATCCTTGGAAACAAATACTGGCAGTCAGTAGAGGGGATGAAAACTATCTCTTACTTCTTCTAAAAAAAAAACCCCCAAGTACTCATTAAAACCGGCAGTGAGATCCAAACGAAATGGAAAGCAGCTACTACTGATCAGAAGTCATCACCCCCCATCGTATAACTGGAGTGCGTCCTAACAGTCCTCCTGGGCGCGGTCCTGACCCACGTCCTAGGCAGCTGCCAACACTGCCTTTCTTTCACGACCCCCCAGTGCTCCAACCCATAACCCTCTGGACTCTTTGAGATCCCTGGACGCCAGCTATTTCCATGCTCCATGACTTTCCACTGTGAAATTATGTTTTAAGTTCTCATCTTCTGTACACTACAAAATGCAAACTTATCATAAAATAGAAAAATTTGAAGTTTTTTTTTTTTAATCACATGTTGACAAACTGTAAAAATCAAGGTAATTATATTTTACCTTTGGACCTTGTCTTCCTGGATATCCTGGTAATCCTGGAACTCCAAGTTTCCCCTAAATTAAAAAAGAAAAAAACTGATCACAAAAAATAGTGTAAGTATAATAATGAAAGGCTTACGAGTTATTCTGAACAATGGCCCTTAGAAATTACTTACTGAACAAAGCAATAAGAAAATCTAAGGAGTCTAGTATTCCACTAGAATCTAAATGTAATGCATGCAAATATTCTAGACCTAATACACCTAGACCAATACCTTTCAAAATAGTGACTACTAAAATGTGGTAATATTTCAAAATGTGATAATCGTGTCAACTTCAGATTAAAATTAAAATCTCTTGAAGATGGGTGTGAACTTACATGTTTTAAAGTATTTTCTGTGAAGAAACTATATGTTTATGTATAAAAACAAGAAAATGTTCATTTTGGTTTGAGACAAAGAAGAGTCTACTTGATCCAAAACAGTAAACAGGCCACACTGTTCACTGACTCCTTCACCCTTTAGTCACTCAGTTTTCAACGCCTCCTGCTGAAGAACTTCAGGCCTGGCTAGTCCTCTGAGACTGAGAAGAGCTGAGGGGAGGCTAGAAAATGAGTCAAAGTGAAAGAGCCCAACAAATGTGTTTGTCTCGTGATAATACTCTCAACCCTAATGGATATGCTTGGAACTTAAGAGAACCTTCTCGCTTTTAGCCATGATATAGAACATTTAAAAATACCACTGGAGCATCATCTGCAAGAGCCCTGCGCCTCGGGCCACCCACCTTCTCTCCAGCTTGGCCCGCAGGACCGGGGTCTCCGGTAGGACCTGCACGGCCCTTGGGGCCCTCAGGGCCATCCTCTCCTCGTGGCCCTGCTTGGCCAACTTCTCCCTGCAATGCAAAGATATCACCGCCTTGTAAACTGAGGCGTGTTTGCACCTGGACAGGCAGGCATGCATCTACGTGTGCTTTACGAAACACATGGAAAGTTAATATCTAGAAAATAACTGATACGCTATCACAACAAAACTTAAAATACTTTAACTTCATACAAAAACATGACTAAACGAAGTCTTAAATAATACACACATTTTATTTATCCTGGACCTCTATGTAGGGAGATAAGAACAGGTTAAAGTAAGAAATAAGAAACATAACTTTGGGATTAGTGCAAATTTTCTCTGTACTTACTCTGTCACCCTTAAGACCCATGTCGCCCTTGAACCCTGGAAAGCCATCTTCACCCTAAAGATATACGGAATACCCAGTGTTAGATCAGTCCTCTGGAAGAATCCAAAATGTCCTATACAAAATCGGTGCTAACAACTGGGGGAAACTGTGCTGAGGTGCTTGAATCCTACTTATAAAATCTCTTTCACTATGCCAACTCTGGCCCTCTCCCACTATATCCAGAATTCTCCCATCTCCTCAAAATTATTGGATGAAAATTAGAGAATTTTTCATAATACATTCCCATTAACCCATCCTCTTAAAACTGCATGTATTTTGTTATTTGAATTTAAAAAAAAGTAAGTGTTTCAATAATTATCATTTTAGGTAGATCCAGGGATCTAAATTCATGAAATGGCTTGTGAAATAAAAGTTTTTAACCTTGCTTTTAATTTTTACCTAAAATTTTATGCTGTTGATTCTTACATCATTGACTTAGACAAATACCTTCTAACTCAGCTTGATCACCTATTATAACCTCTTTTCAGCTAAGGAACAAGCTAACAATATCCTCCACATGTGGACCCTGCATATTTTGTAGCACTACATGCACAGAGCTGGAAAACAGGCATCTTTTTGAAAAGAACAAAGCATAAAACAGGGGCTGGCCAAATAGCTCAGCAGATTAAAGCGCCTGCAAGTAGGCACAGGTGCCAGGGGTTCAATTCTCGGTCCTGCTGTGCCAGCCTCACCCCCAGGGTGCACTGAGATGGCAATTGACTGGGTGTGGTGACACGCGCCTGTAATCTCAGCTCTTGGGAGGCTGTAAACAGGCGGATCACTATGATTTCGAACAAGTAGTGAGACCCTGAACACCCTGTAGACCCCTCCCTAAAATACACAAAAAAATAAAATAAAATAAATAAAAAGCCTAAAACATGCGCTGTGACTATGGAAATTGTTCCTACTGTTCCTGAGATTGGAAAGCTTTACTGACAACTTTACTAATTCCAAGAAAAAAATTAAATTTCAAGTAATCGCTCATGTGTTCAAAAACACTGATATTTTACTATATTCAAAGTTCACAGTATTTCAGTATTTGTCTAATAAACTGACGGTAGAACGTGTACAGTAAATTCTGGTAGAAATGAAATGGAATGTGTGTTCAGAGAAAAGACCAAATGATGACAGTGATGGCGGAGGTGGGATGGTAAGGCAACAACTTGATGAAAGACTTGCTAATTTAGGTGCTAGTAGCAAATGGATAGAGTTTGCAGAATTTGAGGGAAGAGGGCTGGTGAGGTAGCTCAGCAGACTAAGCACCTGCCTGGGCAAGTGCTGGGACCGGGGTTCGATCCCTTGCCCACCCCAGGCATGATGAGCTAGCCACTGAGACATGGCATGTCTATAATCCCAGCCCTGGGGAGGCTGAAACAGGAGGATCACCACAAGGCCAAGCTGCACAGAGAGACTCTGTACCAAATACACTAAAAAATAAAATAAACTAAAAATGTGAGTGAGGGAAGAAAACTTCAGTCGATACGAACACAAAGCTGGGAAGCACAAATACATATACCTCCGAGTCCGAACACCCAAGGACCTTTCTTAAAACCCAAAACTGATTGTTTCAAGTTTTACTTTAAAATCCCTCTAAGTCGGCAGAGAGTGTAACTTCACGTAACCCTCTTCTTACTGACCCCATGACTTGGCCCTCATGCGCCCTCAGCTTTCCATCATGACGACCAGCATCCCCATGACCTCGACTGAAGGCTAGAACCTGACTTACTAGTGCTTCCGCTCACGACACACCAGCAAACCCTGCCCGCCTCTGTCCCTCTGGGGTACTTCTGAAAGGTCTCCTGGGACCTCAAGCTCTTCCTCCGTTTTGCGTGCCCCACTTCAAAGCAAGTCCTGCAGCGATCGGTCTCCCGTCACTTGGCTGGTCACTGTTCCCATAAAATAAAAGAAGCCAAGAATCATGCCCCCTTAGCTAAGTCTCATGACAGTTGGCTTACCACACCACCGCCATCACTGTCATCATTTTGTCTTTTCGCTCTGAACACACGAACTATTGCATTTGTACCAAAATTTACTGTACATGTTTTACCTTTGGTTTATTAGTGAGACAAAAAACAAAACACTGTGCAGAAATTGGAATGTAGTAAAAATTATATTTTTAAACATTTTTATTTACTTGGCACAGGGTCTCACTAAACAGTTCAGACTCACAGTGATCCTCCTATCTCAGTCTCCCCAGTGCTGGGATTAGAGGCGTGCACCCCACACCTGGTTGTGGAGCTGGCATGATGTGCCCGGGCTCTGGGGCCGGTGAAGCATTCAGTACCGGGCACTGAACCCGGGTCCTTGCGCTTGCCACACAGGTACCTAGACTGCAAGCTATCTCTGCAGCTCTAAAAGTCGTATTTTTAACTTTTAAATCCCTGATGGTCCATGATCATTTACTAAATGAACCCTGGAAGTTACCCTTACACCTTTGTGGGAGTTTGGCATGTATGGGAAGGTACAGACAATACTAAGTACTAGACAAGTAAGGGCGTTAGGCCTAACCCAAAGAAGTAATCCAGACCAGCACTGTTACTTAGTTCAAAGAATTCTGACAGGAGTAAGTTTTTTTTTTTTTTTTCTGGAACACAGTCTGACATTTTCAACATTATCATATGAGTAGTGTTTTATAGGGAGCAGAATTCTTTCTGCAGGGGATACAACTCAGTGAGGGCTGAGGCTTAGGAGCTGAAAACCACTTAATTTCTTATTAACAGCTGTGTCCACTGCCCTCTCCCTAGAGAGATGGGTAACCACAAGGCAGTAGTTTAAGAACACTGCACTGTCATGGAGTCACCAACACTTTTTAAGAGTTGTTCAAGGGGACAGGCAATTAATTAAAGTCAACCCAGTAGATGTGCTGGTATTTATGACTCAAAATCATTAAGTGTATCTTCAAATAAACAACATTGCTAAACATAAAGCATATCAAATTATTAAGATTCCTGCCCTAAAATGATCAGATCTAAAGTAATAATAAGAAAAACAAAAGATAGAATATGGAGTTTTGGAAGATGTGTAAATGAATTCACTTCAGCCATGTAGTTTATTTGGCTCTGCTGCTAGGTTTAAGGATAAATGCAAGACAGAAAAAGCAGAGCTTACACCTAAAAAGCCACTAATTGCTATTTCAACTTTTGTAAACAATTTACATCATTAAATATTACAGAAGAAGATTTCCAATCTCCTTCTCCAGATGACTGCGCTGCACAGTCCTCCCTCAGGACTTCATGTTTCTTCGCAGCTATACTAGGGAGGATTTTTACTATAAAAATTTTTCCACTAACATATACAGAATTTGTCTACTTTGAAAAAAATAAAAACCCACTGATTGCAATGTTTGACAACAAAAGGAACTACTGGAAAGCATTTTAGAGACTTGCGAACAACTTCCTTGCATTTCATTCTTTAGACTTTCCTGTTTTTCCTTTTTCATAACTTCCATCGCCTCACGCTGCAGTCTGTAGTCACGACATTCAGCATGTGGCGCGGGCACACATCGCCGCGCCTCTCAGATCTGTTTCCGCTCTATGCTCTACCACGCTCCATCTTTGGTCCTATTCTCTTTGCAAATCATCTCTCCCTGTTTCAAACCTATTATATCTTATATTTGCACTTTAACTTACTCGCATTTTGATTCTCCCATATAGGAGAAGCTTGAGTATTTATTTCACTTAACTTTATGATCTCGGGGTCATCTATTTTCCTAAAAATGACTCCATCTCAATTTAAAGACTTAAAATGAGACTTAAAGTCATTTTCAATGTTAATATCTATTTGGTAGAAGAACTGAAATCAGAATCCAAAATTTTTGATTAGTTTAAATTTCTAATTTTTCACTATATGTACTTCTATCTTCTAAAACTACACACCATTACAATCCACCAATTATCTAAAGATGTTTTCTAGAAAGAAACAACATATTTATCTTTATGCACTTTTCCTCTTGTATAATTTTATTCCTAACTGTCCCTCAAAAATCCTCCATAGGCACTAGGTACAGAGAAACATGGGAATTGACATTGAAAAAGAAAACTAGATGAAAAGGCACTGCTGAGCACAGCAGCCTCCCACTACCACAGGACACAGAGCAGGCCACCGCTGCACGTAGTATGAGCTCAGCAACACATTGCCAGGAGGTTCATCCGGGACAGTCAGTGCAACATGATGGTCATCACGGTAGCCCCGGAGATTTAAAATGTGCTATGCAGAGCCAGGCGCCATGGCGCACACCTGTCATCCCAGCACCGGGGAGCCGAAGCAGAGGATCGCTGTGAGCCAGAGGCCAGCCCGCGCCCCCCGGCGGGCCCGAGGCCAGCCTGAGCCCCATGGAGAGCCAGAGGCCAGCCTGAGCTCCAGCGAGACCCTGTCTCAAGACTCATCCACACGGCTGACGCTGACAAAAGGATCTACAAACTGTAGTACCTAGCTTCAGGATAAATCCTGAGGGGATTTGACTGACCTTATTAAATACAAAGTTACATTTCTTGTTATATAGGTCTTGCTTTAGCTTGGTCTTAACCATCCAGCACAAAAGTATAAAAATGAGGTACAAAAAGTAAAGCCATATTAATATGCTGAGCTGTAAAAGGCTCAAGTGAACAACTCCTGACATTGCCAGTCCTACAGACAACCCACTACTGTTATGGACGACTGGACCGTATTGGGTTATTTTGCTGAATTCACACACCTACAATATTTGAATGGTAATGGAATACCCATCTCTGACAAAACTAAACAAATAAGGGGGATTTAGGTAAAGAACCATTCTGTATCTGTATATACAAATAGGAAAGATCTACAGCTACTTTCTCTTAATTCAATGAGAAGAAAGACTTGTACTAATAGTGTTTGGACAGGATATCATGTCTGCATCTTGTTCTATGAATAACCACCATGAAGACAATATACAATGTGTTAATTATTGAAACTGTCCTATTAATTGGTTTTGAAACTATCTCATTGCTGTTTGTTTCTCAATAAAATAAAAAAAAGTTTTAAAAATAAAGTAAAAAAAAAACCCTGAAGTAAGTAAATAAATGATGTTCTTCATACAATAAATCTGGTTATGTACCTTTACTGCATCTAATGAGGGATTTTCCCCCCAGAAAAATAAGTTCTAATGGCTATAGTAATACATCTCTTTGTATTTCATCCTCTATTGAAACCAAATAAATTCAAAAGCTTAATACTAATATTATGTAAATATTCTTAAAATCAGTACAAATATTAATAAGAAAAACTATAGTTAAGTTACCAAATATAACAATCTTTTATACCATAAAACTATGTGTTGGTTTTAGTTTTTATGTAATTTTGTAATATGAATCCTTTATAAATTCTATGTAATACAATTTCCTTGCATTTCAAAATACTCTTTGAAAGATCTGGGACTCTACATTAATATTAAACATTTACCTGAAAAAAAAAATCTAAATGTGTCTCTTCAGCCAAAGCCAATTAATCTATACGTGATTTCTAAAAAGTCACATTCCTATATAATTTGAGATACATTCTTTCCTCTTCCTCTACCTAGTTTTAACTCTATTTC